AAAGTCCGACCCCTCGCCACAGCACAAATCTGCTGGCTGTCAACCTGCCCTGCTGTGTAAACTGCAACTGACGCGATTTGTCCGCTGTCTCTACGGTCGGGGCTGTCTGGATGCAGCTGCTGTCTCTGCTCAGTCGCATTGAGGCAAGAATTGCCTCCAAGCCCCCGACCCCATGCTCCTTCACCAGCTCCGCACGTTGAAAATGGCGCTGATGTTGAGGCTGCAGCTCTGGCTCAGGTACAAAAAAGCCCATGCATGCCACGCGCGCGCCTCAGTCTGCAGACTGACACCAGTCTACTCTCCTCAGTGGAGTCGCTCCTCTGGCCGCCCGTGGGCTTGTATGGTTCCTCTCTTGCTGAATAATAACGCCCGCCTGCACCGACACGCGCCCCCCCCCGGCCCGGCTGCGGGCACCTCGAAACTTTGAAGCTGCCACAGGACCTTCCTCCCAGCTGGCGCCCTCCACTTTCTCCCGCTGGCGCACGCGCTCGAACCGTCTGCCATGCAAACGACGTCTCCAATCGCCTCGCGCCACTCGCGCCTGCTCCTGCTCGACCCGTCCCGCTCGCACCCAGCGGAGCGAGAGCGAGCGCACGCGGCCGCATCCTGGGGCATCGCCGCCATCCGCTCCATTCCGCTGAAGCACTCGTACAACAACACTACCCAGTAAAGTACAAGGTTTGGCTAACAGTGCTAGTAATAGATTGAATGAGCAATGACAAGGAACGTCCGATCTGGGGCTGGCAGGGTTTATGTTTTCCATAGTTTTGCGCCTCTTGTCTGATTGTGTGTTATTGCTTTGTTTTTTTCGTACTTTGTTTGTATAATGTGTGGTGTTGGATTGGTTGTGATGTGGTACATTGTATTTTTTAAATGTGTAGTTACCATCTTTTGAAAGAACGATTTGAGGCCAGGAAAAAAGGATTCTGGTCCAGGATCTAGACCTCAGTGTGTAGTTATGAGATTGAATCAATGCTCTCCGTACAGTGAGGCAAAGACACGAGTACCAGCTCTACCAGAGGGGAGTCAGCACAGCGAGCTGTCGCTAGGCTAGACCGACAGACCAAATGAACCAAGAAATCCAAAATGCGCCTTGAATCTATCACACAGCAAAATAACTCAAACTGACACGTAACGAGAAGTGTAGATAGAAGGAGAGTCACAGCATATAGGGGTCGATGATAAAATGGCCGCTTGCAATCTGGAAGGAGCAAGATAAAAACAAAACGACGGAGTGTACCGGTTGTTGCCGTTGTGAACCTGAATGGTTACCCCGCGTCCCACGACGCATACGACACCCCGCGATCACAGTACCAGGCCCGTCAGTTCCTGATGCTCCTCTTAGGGCTGCGGGCAGTTCTACCCTCTCTGCGACATGGCTGTCCAGCGTCGTCCCCACATCAAGCGTCCCGAACACGGGCGATACTTACAACCTGAGCCTAGCGTGCCACGTTCGTAACATCGCTAAACTTCCTTTCTTGACGGTTTTCTCAGTCAACTAATGCTATTGATAACAGTAACATAAATTAACACAGCCCTGCACACTGCAGTCATTATATGCCGGGTCTGTGGTTCATCATCTTCTTTTTCATTCTCCTCCTTATTGACTGACATTAACGTTAAACATTGCACTCATGTTACTCACCGAAACCTTGTAAAGCCGGTCCCGCATGCTGGCTCTTACAGAACCGACTAACTCCTCTTTCGTGTATGTACAGCTCTCAACGTGCCCAGACTTGTAGTGATTTTCACCTCGTTTTATACTTTTATTCTCATTCTGAAAGAATGAGGTGAAATGTGCCAACGTGACGGCCATCTTTGTGTTGGTGACGCGTATTGTGCGGGACCAGAGACATGTAGTTCACTGAGCGGCTTAACACAAAAAAATGTGTTACTTCACAGTTTTACGACACATTTTTATTTTTTTGACTTGCAAAATGTTCTTTTAAATTGACAAACATCATATGTGTAGTTCGTGGCACAATTCAAACGGGATCAAAAGATACGTTTTCTTTCTCCATTGAATTCAATGTATAATTTTCCGCTTCCGGGGTCCCATGAGCTCCCCCGGACCGGGAGGGACTTCGCCTCTCTATTGGGGCACTGTGCTGACATACCTACCAAACGTCATCTCATAATTAAGAGAGCTGATTGGCTGTAAGTACGTGTGCCGCGAAAAGTTTAGATGTGAAGAGGAGACGAGAGAGAGCAGCTTATAGCGATTACAATAAGTAAAACGGAAAGAAAATGAATTAAGTTGACCATCTACTTCAGCATGGTAAGTTCATTTTATGTCATATCTTTTGTTGATCTTCTGTGTTTTGCCTATAGGCTAGGATCGATTGATATTGTGACCTCGGTTATGAGTGTCTTGTGTACTTTGCGGTACTTAGTCCCCCGAACTATTTAGTCCCTGGAACTGTCCTAGTAGATCGCGTTCTCACCGGAATATACTGCCACCCGAAGTCCCGGAGTCCCCCGGAGTTGGGGACTGGCTTCAGTAGAAGCTGCTGGGTAGCGTCTTCCGAGTAAATCGCCAGAAGTGCCGACACCTCCTCATCAGTCCACCGCTCCCATGTTTTCTTTTGTGTTGCCATAAGTTAGTCTCTCTCCGTTGGTGCGCTGGGCTAATGCTAATGAGGCTAATGATGCTAATGCGAGCAAATAAAATGGGGTTTTACGGGGTGTGGTTTGCCCTGATCTTGGGAAAAGTACTCCGGTGTGAAAGCGTCTATTGAAACGTGATGACACTTCAGATACAATTAAAGCGACAAAGCGGCAAAATTCATCATAAAAGGAAAAAAAGACAATACACTTCACCAGCAGATGTAAAAATGTTTAATTGCAAATGCAACTCATTAAAGGTTAATGCAATTGGAATGCAAAAGGATCCTTATACAATAAAGCACTGATTCAAAAGCTTTAGCACAGACATTTTGACCTCACTGTTTGTATGATTTGTTTGTGTGTGTCCGTTAGCAGTCAGGGCAAGGAATTACAAGAACCAGTTGTGGTTTACTTCACTGGAGTGAAAGGCACAGGCTACACAGGAGCTGAATGTCAAAGCGAGCCTTCGCACCATCCACAGTTGAAGTGGTGCAGGTCGCCCTCTGCCGAAGCAAATTAAGCTGACGCCCAATACCTTAGGATATGTACGTGACTGTGTGCTTGTACCTACCGGGGTGTGTGAAGGCTAATACGCCCTGACAGGCTGATAACATATTTTGCGTCATATCGTTTGGCATCATTAACTAATAAAGATGGATTGGCCTTTGTTCCCCGTCAATGAGTGTTTGTAATATGGGCCTGCCGCCGTAGTGTGTTTGTGTGTGTGTTTGGGTGCAAGAGAGAGGAGTGCTTTTTTAAGAGGTCATGGCTTTCCAATCCACAGATCAGAATCTGGCTGGACCCAACCTTCTCCCATGATGCTTTGGAGGCGGAAATTTTGGAAATACTCCAGGCGGTGGCTAGGATACAGAGAGAGAATTTAATATAGGATGCACACAACTCTCACATACACATTTACACATTCATACACAAATATACTGCACATCTCATTACCTCCGCAGAAGAGGTCATGTTTTACGCTAGGCATGTCTGTCAGACAGCAGAATTATGGAAAAACTACTGGCCTAATTTTCATGAAATTTGGTGGAAGAGTCTAACATGGGTATAGGAAGAACTTATTAAATGTTGGATTGGATCCAAACCATGGCGCAGATACACAAATCATTTTTCACTTTCGTAAACATTGCAGATAGGACATTTGTGCTGCATTAAGGTGCTGTTGGAATACTCGATAAATGAGTTCCTGACTAGGAAATTGTATGTCGTAACCACAATGGAAAATCTCCCAAAGTTTTGGTATCACTAGCTGAGTTGTGGCAAATTACACTCATATGGTTTGAAGCAATAGAAAACAGCAAATATTTATTTAAGCGTCAATGTTCTTTCCATTTTAGGAACACACTGAAATTGGACAAATGACCACCTAAATTTGGAAAAGGGACAATCATACAAAAGTATGTGAATGCAACATTGGTCTCTAAAAGGACCTGTGCTCTTTGAGAGCTATACTTGTTTAAAGTTTAATTACCTAGCAAGGTGTTGGCTCATAGCAAATAAAAAAATGCAAGTTGGCCTGTACTTTATGCTATTCTTTAAATAAAGTACCGGTAAAAAGATTTGAGAGGCTATCCGCTAATTTATCTATATGAAATTAAGTTTACAATTCTGCCTGTAAAAAACAACTGTAAACTCTCCCTCTTGCCTCTGAAGGAAGGTCTTAAGAAGTCGAGAAAAAACTAAAAGAAAGTAATGCTTATGACAAGGAATACTGAGGAATGTTTAAAAGTATAAAATGGCATCAAGTTTATTAATATAAAACAAGGCCTCAATCGATATTAATAGAATACGTTAAATTAATAGTTTCTGTACTGACATTGCACTGTTACATTTCAAAAACAAATGGGAACAACTACTATACATTTAGTTTCTTTACCATGTATGTGACATACATGAAGGTCCTGCAGATTTCAGAGAGTAGAAACATTGGACTTAAAAGAGTGATAGAATCAATCAGAAAGGTCTTTTGCAACCTGCATTCTGCCTTGAAAGGAAAGTTAATGGTGTTCCAATCAAATTAAATAATCATCATTTTCTTTTTTTTTGAGTGGCATTAAAACAATCTTAAATCATATTTCTTTAAGCTGTAGGAATACATGACATCACCAGGGTTATCTTTGATGGGTCTTGACACTTACAATTTGGGTGTAAAGGTAGATAGATGTGATTTCTGTGAAGCTCTACCAAAAGACGCCATGGAGTTGCCATTTAGAATCTGATGTTTTTGGACCTTATTTTGACCACTTTTTCATGAATCTTCCCAAACTTTATGAAAGTCAAATACTAAATTGCTGGACATAAAAAAATCTAAGTTTAGATGACCTCATAGGAGTTTGAATACTCACAAGTTAGGTTTTTGGCCTTCCACTATGTCCTCCTTGGGGATGGGGTAGAGAGCCTCATATGTGCGCCCCTCTCCTGAGCCATGGATAGCGTAGGAGTTCATCTTGTTGATATTAGGGGGCAAGTACGACCAAGGGAGGAGAGCCTCCCCCATCCATCTGTCCCCTTTGATCGTGGCATTAAACACCATGGGAAGTTGTTGCTTGAGGAAGAATATCGAGACAAATAGAATAAATACTTGACTCAAAGCACCGCTGCCCCTTATCAACCACTCCCTCAATGTTTGCCTACCTGGAATGCTTGTCCAACTCCTGACAGCAACAATATCAGTTGCTGTCCATGTCTAAAATAAAAATAAAACAGATTGTTTAAAGAATATCTAAAAACGTATGGTCATGTGGTTGTTACAAATGAGCTAAATACTTACGGACAAAACTCCACTTCAAGGTAATTTACTGTAGTGCTATCGAGGAAGAAGCACTCCACAACTGATAAGAGGAAGAAGAGTAGTTAATCAAGAATAATTAAATAATTTCAGTGATTTATTTTGAGTCAGCCTAATAATATTATGTACAAAAATTTAAAAAAGATACAAAGACAAGCTCACCTCGTAGCATGCTCATTATCAACCTAGATTATAATGGCAATGGTTTCAAATCTAATAAGTAACATTAATGAGGTCAAATATGCGAGGCTCATTAACCGGAAATCGAACTTACTTAAGGTCAATTAGATAGGATTGTTATTACTCAACCTCATTACAAAGTTTAATTGCTGTGTCACCATAATAATGATAATGCAATCACTATTAGGGCCTCATAAACAGAGCTCGTCTCTCATCTCTACAACACCATTGTAATATGTTCATGATTATATCTCAGCTTTTCTATTCGCCTAAAATTGCATCGCACATAGAGACTAAATCCTTAAATCATGACTGTGATAACAAGTTATGATAAGACAAACTGTTGGGGTTTTGGAAGCATGAAAGCAACACTTGTACAACATATTGCAATCTGTTACAGCTATTGCAATTTTTTTCCAGTTTTTTAGGTTGCATTTGATTCAAAACCACAGACTGGATTAATAAACACTTTTAGTTTTAGTTTATACAGGAATAGCTCAACATTTTGGCATGAACAATCTCTTGTTAACTTACACAGAGTTTGACTTGAGCGAAAATTAACAACTTTTATATTTGTCCATTCAATATGATGCTAAGGCTAAAGACTGGTTACTGTAGCTTAGTATAATAACTTGGGAGGCTAAATCACAAGTTTCATCACAATACAATAATATATTGACTCTTTGGACAATGATTCCATATTGCTGATATCGCAAAGTCTGCCACGATGTGATTTCAAATCAAAACTATCAGTATAATTGAATTCAGCCAACAAAAATTAAGATTTTATAATTAGTCCTCTTGGATGGAAATGGTGAGACAGAGATGCAATAGGATTTTCAAAAAAAATGGCTTATCTAAAAATGATCATATTGATGTTTTCCCTTCGCATTAATGATCTGATGAATCTATACATCGATCCATATCTATGTATTGCTAAGCCATGGGTAAAAGGGTAATCCACAACTTGTAGTTATAACACTTTGGTTTCTATACAGATTTAACAAACAATACTAGAAATTTAAATTAGATTTTGAGGTGTTTGCAGGTAGATTATGGAGATTAACTGAACCAAGTCATGTTGTATGGACAGATATCAAATGGGTAAACATTGGAGTGTCTAAAATGTTGGCCTATTCATTTAATGATCGATGCATTCAAAAAGACAAGTTCCACCATGATCATTACATTTCAATTACATTAAACTAATATAACTATGGTAAATAGGTAACTCTATCTGTACCAATTTGTGACTTTTGCATTTTCTATAAATGTATCATAGACTGTCAAATAAATTGTCCTTCTACAGACATATTTGCTCAGGGTGAATGTTCGGGAAGCTGCGTATTGCAGTAGCAGACATACATGATGCAGCACTAACTTTGCTTTACTTTTCTACGTACCTTCATAATTCCAGAGTCCAGGGAAGGGCTGGCTGGGGGGGCTCGCAGGACCTACTGGGTCATTGAAGAAGGGACCAAACATCTCTATCTTCAGCCCTCCTTGCCCAGGAGAGAAATTGATCCTGATAGGGTCATGATTCACAGGATTGCTATCCCAGGTTTGCTCGATCAAATACTGCATTTTCCTAAAAGGATTGAAGAAGAAAAATCAATCAGAATAAGAATCTGATATGTGACACAGTGCATACAAATGTTGCAAAACTTACAGAGAATTACAGCATAGTACAAACTGGATAAGTGTCAGAAACTGTAATCCATGAGCTACACCCATGTTGTCACAGCTGCAAAGACTCACTGGTAAAATGCTCTCAACTGTGCTACAGCTGGGCATATCATGTCTTAATGCACACCCCGTTCTGCTATTCAAACAGTTTGTTATCAAATTAGGTAAATGACAAATACAGTTCTGTTACTCAATAACTTATTAAGATGGTACAAATATACTTCCTGATATTGAAAACTGAGAACTATCCAAATGAACCTTAATGGTGTCCAAGATGTGGTTGAAGCTCTTACCAGATCAACACATTATCCAAATTACGTTTACCAACACATATCCAGTAACTTTACCATAGCTCCTATTGTGTTAACAAATCATGTGACTGAGAGCTAACATGTTTAACCTGTTCATTGTTGTATCAATATGAAGCATGCTAACCTGATGCTAACACGTCAGGGTAAGAACATAACATGTTTCTTCTTGAAAAACGTCATATGTATAACACTAGCACTGAAACTAAACGATATTGACTGAATCAACACATCCTTCAAAAATATATCCGTCTGACGCTTCCCGACATAGAGCGGAACCTTTTCCCTTTCGACGGAGCAATTATGCGGTGCACATCTTCACTGCCATTGGTTGCTATTTGTTTGCTTCAAAACAGACGGGGCAACCGAAACTATGTAAAAAACACCAGTAAAGCGTCGTATGCTAAATGTAAACGTCAAATAATACATGTATACAACCCGTAAGTGTTACCTTTCTCTAGAATTGTTTGTGTTACACGATAGCCACTTTATGTAACGGTCAAGAGGGTTTAGTTAGCTAGCTAAGTTTAGCTGAGATTGAGGCATTTAGCGCTAGCTGCACTAGGCAACAACAGGTGACGCAAGCTAATTTATGATTCAGCAGCTTTTTTTAAGGTCGTTAGAGCAGGGCTTGTGCTTTTGACACAGTTAAGTTTACAATATAAATGTTACGTTAGTGGTTTTTTAAATTGCTAACGTTATCGTTGTGTTGCTTCTATCTAGACTGCACCTTCAACATGGAAGCTGAAGTTAAGTTTTTACGGGATCAAGGTAAGGAAAAACCAGGGAAGACATACTATATTTTGTGTATCAGAAAAAAAACATTTTTATAGAAAGGTTTAGCCCAAGTATTCCGATGGAGAATAATAACAGACCGTTCATTCCAAATAAGCCATGGTGACTTCTCCATATTTTCTATAATGTCTACTGAAACCAACAGCACACTGTAGAAAGCATTTGTTTGAGATAATTCAAATAAAAGAAAAATAATAGGTCTACATCCGTATTGCTGTTGTTCATCAATAATCTGCTTGAATTATGATGACATGATTTTACTCCTAAATCAATACTCAAACTGACATGATTTTTGTGTGAGTGCAATGTTAAAGGCTCTTAGTATATTTAAAGTCTAAAATTCAAGACAAAATGCTCAAAATAAACCAGACATACAGAGCCTTTAGCAGATATTGAGTTGTGTGAGAATAGCATATTGCAACATCCAACATTTCGATTTTTGATCATATTTCATGTATTGTTCAGCCATATCATCAGTTAATTATAATATAGTCATTTGTCAGTCAGAGTCATTTGAATGCACAATGCACATTCAAAAAGGACTAACTCTTTTGGCCCAAAATACAAACGTGCAAATACACATTCATTGAATGGAGCTGTCAAAGCAAAGTGGCTGTGGTCTTTTGGCACCCCGGAGCTTTTTTATAATTGGCTTAATAGTAGGATCCCGTTTGTGGTGATTTGCATTTTCCATAAATAGTCCAGTTGGGTGGGGAACATGCCATCTAATAATTAAGCAACATGTGTATGACTGTTTTCTTGTATCAGTCCACAGATTAAACTCTGCTCTAAGCCAGTATCAGCATGGTACCCAATTTACATCAGCTCAGGTAAAAACAACAACATATGTTAATATACATCTGTCAACCATTATTTGTTCCTCATTCTAACCTCCTACATCTTTAATCTTCATCATCAGGTTGAAGATGCTAGACGGGCCGAGGCTCCCAAACCTTGGATGGTAGATAGAAGGTCAGGCCTAGTAAAAAGGACAACCATCTTCTGTTGATATTGACTGCACTGGTGAGAATATGTACAAAAGTGACAGATACTTTTTCTGTGTTACAGTATAATGGCTCCTTTGGTAGCTGAGTATGATCTGCACATGGAGGAAATGACAGAAAAGCTGCAGAGATACGAGGTAATACAAACAAATTAGACACAAATTCAGTTTCGACAGTTAAATCAAACTTTACAAACACACAAACATTCCATATCTGGACTTTATCTGGACTTAGATATATAGATACACACTAAGGGATGTATAAATAAATTATTAGAAGTTAAGTAGTAGAAAACTGTCTGGGAATAATGAATTAGACGCCCTTCTCTCTAAGTCTAAATCTGATCAATTATAAGCTGTTTGCCCCCCTAAAGAAAAAAACCTCAGTAAACAGTTCTTAATGAGTTTATGGTCAAAAGTTTTCGATATGTCCTGATGTTCGTTTTTTAAATTATGATATGACAGCGACCTGTCAGTCAGAAAAGAGGGTGCTTTAATGTGCCTCCTTAAATAAAATATGCATAAGGATTTCTTAACTATTCCATAACAATACGTGTTTGTCTATTGTTTAAATCAACAAGGACTAATGACAAATGTCAAAGTGAAATTGAGACTTTTGTCAATGCAGTAGTGCGTTATTAAGCATTCCTTAAAAATGGACAGCAGGAGACACGTCCATTTTTGTAGATGTATAAGCAAAAATGACCCAACTTTTTAAAATTCTTCAATAAAGCTTGATGTTCATTTTGTAAATGATGGTACCATGGAAACCTGTCAATCAAGAAAGAGGTTCTCCAGTGTGTTTTCCTTCTTAAATAAAAAATAAATCTACGTTTTCACTGTGTTTTTCTACTTTCTATAATCAAAAGGGGCTGATGACAGACGTGAAAGTGAAGTTGGAGAGGGTTGTCAAGGAGAATGAAAGGTAAATAAGAATTCTACTGGTGTTAACAAGCAAGCTCTTTTCTGACATTTGATATGTTTTTAAAGAACATCAGATGCTTGTATTATTTATTTGTTTTTGAAAAGTTCATTAATAAACATTGAATGACTTTGATTGTGTCCCACCACAAAAACATTTAGTTAGTAGTATTGTAGTACAATGTGCACTTTTTTACTGTGCACTTTATATACTATTTGTATTTCTATATTTATTATTTTGCTTTGTCTTTTATAAGACATTTACTTTAACTTGTTATATTTATCTACATTTTACAGGCAAATAAAGTGTGGTTTGTGGACTGTAATTAAGGTTTTGGTATTCTTTTTTAAATCATGAACTATCTAATTACATATTTTTCAATATGACCTTTCTCCTGTCGCCAGGCTGCATGCAGAGCTGAGGGAGTCGGTCGAGAAGCAGCTTCATGTCCTGCCGGTGGCTTCAGGAGTGGAGAGCAGCACGCTGGAGGAGGAAGCTGTCATCAGAAACCTGCAGGAGCAGCTCCAGCTCTGTGAACAGGTCTGCATACGTCCTTATATCCAAACATAAGAGGATTACGTCCACATTTGTTTGCTGTTTTGCCAAAAGACAAAAAATAAGGTAATATGTTTTCATCTCTGTGCATTCAGTCGTGAGATAATGTGTTTTATATGATACATAAATATAAATTGTTAAATACGAAGACAATTAAACCAGAGTGTATCTCTGTACCATTCAGGTATCTTGCGCAAGGACACTTCATCATGTCAACTGCAGGGGCAGGGATTTAACCTCTGACCTCTCGATCAGAATGCGCCCACTTACATCTTGCACCCTCAGAAAAACCATCAGATCCCAAAAATAAAAAATCAATACAAAAAAAAACCTCACATTATAAACACAAATAGCACAATGAAATCTTTAAGGAAAACAAAAGTAATTATTACATGGTAAATACTTGATTTGTATAGGTCAATTTAGGCATTCCAGAGGTTTGTTATTTTTCGCTATCGGTGCTAGTGAGAATATGACCATTGATAAGGAGGATCAAGGGAAAATGTGCAGTCATATCAATTTGCAGAAATAAGTCTGGTTGATCAGCTGTGGACAACAAACACTAGATTGCTCCATCTGAAAACACTGGAATAGTTTGGGAATTTTTTTTTTTTATATTTGAGGAGACGGAAGAGGTTAAAAGACACTGGACGTCAGAAGAAGACAGACAGGAAGTCAACATTAACAGTACCACAGTGTGGGCTCTCTGTCTGTGTTTTATTTAGTAATGACCGCCTCGCTGCACGTTATCCCATACACAAACTACGGTCAAGCATTTATTTGAAATAAATAACTAATGTTACAGTGGCGCCAAAGACTGTAAAATAATTTGACGAAGACGCTAGATTGAAAAGTGAAGCCAATGCAGTAGTGTGTTGAACATGAATACCTTTAAATTGGTCAGCAGGGGTCCATATATCAAGTCAGGTTTTATAGAAGACTACGAAAAATAGACCCAACTTCTTACTTCATTTATTCCCTTAGTTAACATTTTCTAAAGATGTTAAAGTTTAAAGTTTGAAGTAAAAAAAACAGCATGTCAACAGCATGTCAACCAGGAAAGATGCCTCCTAGCTCCACCCTGTTTTCCAAATATGGTCACTTCTTGCTCCAACAAAACGAGATGGCAATGGCCAGAAAAACAGACTCAAGGCTTGAAAATGTTACTTCACAATGCCATGGGTGACATTACAGTTACTATGTTCACGTCTCAAATACTTCTCTATGTAGCACAAGTAGAGACAGCGACATGACTCAGTAGTAGGCGTATTAACCTAACGTTTGCTTTCAGAAACTGCTGGTCATACCAACCGAAGAAAGGAACCACTTTAAACCGTCATATTTAAATGTTTTATTTTGTGTATTTTCAATGTGTAGCTACGAAAAACAAAACATTAATGCTTTGTTAAATAGTGGCCTCGGGCTTACTGACAAGAGCTATTACAACAACAACATCTGTCCCCAATGGCTCTACACAGGACAGCTATTTCATTTTGTGGTGACTCACTCACTTGCGGACAGGACACAACACAAAAATAACTTTGAAGTAGTTCTCTTTTTACAGATTCTAGCTGTTTTAAAAGCCGCTAGTGTCTGCTCTACACTTGATCCCCTTTTCTGAATGCACATGATTGGAGAACTTTAATTATTATGCTCCATATACAGTGGGGCAAAAAAGTATTTAGTCGGCCACCAATTGTGCAAGTTCTCCCACTTAAAAAGATGAGAGGCCTGTAATTTTCATCCTAGGTATACCTCAACTATGAGAGACAAAATGAGAACATTTTTTTTCCAGAAAATCACATTGTCGGATTTTTAAAGAATTTATTTGCAAATTATGGTGGAAAATAAGTATTTGGTCAATAACAAAAGTTCATCTCAATACTTTGTTATATACCCTTTGTTGGCAATGACAGAGGTCAAACGTTTTCTGTAAGTCTTCACAAGGTTTTCACACACTGTTGCTGGTATTTTGGCCCATTCCTCCATTCAGATCTCCTCTAGAGCAGTGATGTTTTGGGGCTGTCGCTGGGCAACACGGACTTTCAACTCCCTCCAAAGATTTTCAATGGGGTTGAGATCTGGAGACTGGCTAGGCCACTCCAGGACCTTGAAATGCTTCTTACGAAGCCACTCCTTCGTTGCCCGGGCGGTGTGTTTGGGATCATTGTCATGCTGAAAGACCCAGCCACGTTTCATCTTCAATGCCTTTGCTGATGGAAGGAGGTTGTCACTCAAAATCTCACGATACATGGCCCCATTCATTCTTTCCTTTACACGGATCAGTCGTCCTGGTCCCTTTGCAGAAAAACAGCCCCAAAGCATGATGTTTCCACCCCCATGTTTCACAGTAGATATGGTGTTCTTTGGATGCAACTCAGCATTCTTTCTCCTCCAAACACGTCTAGTTGAGTTTTTACCAAAAAGTTCTATTTTGGTTTCATCTGACCATATGACATTCTCCCAATCCTCTTCTGGATCATCTAAATGCTCTCTAGCAAACTTCAGATGGGCCTGGACATGTACTGGCTTAAG